TATCCAGCCCTGGCCATTTGCTAAATGGAGAATTGACCTTATAGGACCTCTTCCCAAAGGAAGAGGAAATTCAAGTTTCGCAATTGTTGCCATTGATTATTTTACCAAATGGGTGGAGGCCGAGCCACTTGCCAAGATTACTGAAGCCAACACTTCCAAATTCTTTTGGAAGAACATCATTTGTAGGTTCGAGATCCCCCATTCAATTGTCTCAGACTATGGTCGATAGTTTGACAACAGAAAAGTCTGGAATTTATGTGAAGAACTGGGTATTAAAAAACATTTTTCCTCCTCACATCATCCCCAATCGAATGGACAGGTAGATGCTGCCAACAAAACAATCAAATACACATTGAAAAGGAAGTTGGATGCCTTCAAAAAGGCCTGGGTCCATGAGCTAACACAAGTCACTTGGGCCATCAGAACTAGAAGTAGAACTGTTACCGAAGAGACTTATTTCTCTATGGCCTACGGAGCTAAGGCCATGAGCTCAGTAGAAGTGGGTCTGCCATCTCTTTATCGAATTCATTTCAATAAAATATCTAATGACGAGATACGAAGATATGAAATCGACTTCCTTGAAGAAAGGAGGGATGAATCTCAGGCAAAATTAGCTGTTTATCAATGAAAAATGAGTAGATACTACAATGCAAAGGTAAACAAGATGCCATTTCGTTTGAATGAGTTGGTGTTCCAAAGAGTATTTTTGTCTTCTAAAGAACATGACTCAAGAACCCTTGGTCCCAACTGAGAGGGCCCCTATCGCATCAAGGAAAAGGTTTGGCCAGGAACCTACAAAATTGAAAATATGGATAGAAAGGCACAGCCTCATCCTTGGAATGTAGAACATCTACGCAAGTATTATCAGTGATGATGTAAATATCTTGTATGAACAGTTTATGATTCAATAATAGTAATTTTTATCAAAGTGTTTACAAATTGAAAGTATCTCCCAAGAGGCAAAACCCTGGGAGAAGCCTCTGCATAGACGAACCGTTCCTATGCAAATAAGTACACTTCAATGAAGAGATGGATCCCAAAGGAATCACCTACAACTCGCAAAGTGCTGCACATGCCCTTAACCACAGAGGTCATTAAGGAAGTCTCAACATGGGTGAGTCACTCAACCTCATGCTCAGAAAACAAAGTTCGCAATATAAAAATTAAAAATTAAATTTGCATAAGTTCATTAAAAATAAAAAAGTGCCTCTTATTGAGAAAGCTCAAAGGAGAATCCTCTTCATAGACGACCCATCCCTATGACGAGACACGTGGGTACTTCAACGAGGAGCTAGGTCCCAAGAAGGACCACCTCTACTCTCGCAAAGTGTGGTACATGCCTTTAACAGCAAAAGTTGTTAAGAAATCCTCAGTATGGGCGAACCACTCAATCCCATGCTTAGGAAAAGAAAGGCAAGTGAACTGCCTATACTTGTGCAAATTATAAACAAAGTTTTAAGCAAAGGTCTGAAGTGCTAAAGAGACTAAGTTCATAAACATCGATTTTTTTTTTTTAAGTTTTTAGAAACTTATTAAGGTGCACAACCTTCTAACATTGTATAAAATTACAATTTTGATTCCGATTGATGAAATCCACGGTTTGATTCCATTATTGAATTTTAATATGCATAAGTTTGATGTTATCGTGAATTCGATGATGTTACAAGTCTGATGTTATTTGTCACTTTAAGTGTAACATTATTGCTGAAGTACGAATGGTTTAAATCATATTGATGAGTATATCAGCATACATTGAGCAGAAGTTGTAAATGCAGAAAAGTAAATAACACAACTATTGAAAAAAATAACCTTATTCATTAAAAATAATATTTATACTTGGTGGGCCGAAGCCATTTACATAGAAAAAGTACAAAAAAGAAAACAAAAGACCTAAGCTCTAAGCAAGTGGTAAAGTGGGAGCCACAAAAGGGATTATAGCATTATGAGCCACTTCTTCGACTGCATCATCTTCAAGTTCAATCACTTGGCTTCCTTCTACTAGAGTTTGAAGTTCGGGCTAATCTTCTTCTTCAGGGAAAATGGATTTTAACTCTGAAGTGTCGATGCCTTGAATGTTCACCTCCAGCCATTCCATCATGTCAGTGTAGGCATACCTCTGCTAGTACTTCGCAAAGCTCTTGTATACCTCTGTCAAATGGAAGTTAGAGAGAAAACGCTTCTTAACATCGCTACCAACAGTATGAGCCTCATACTTGGCAGTTTCTATCTCTTCAATCAGGCTAACAACCTTGGAGTTCAACTCTCCCACCTGTCCCTTCAGAGCAGAGTTCTCTTTATTAGCCTTCTCCAAGGTTTTAGCTGCCAACCGCTGATGGGCGTTGGATATCTCCACTCACTTCGTTAGCGAGGTCACCTCACTTTCAGATAGGTGGACCTCCTTCTTCAAGTTCTCAATTTCTGCTAAGGCGGAAGCGAGCTTCACGGACTCCTGTGCCCACTTCTTCTTCAAAACCTCCGCTTTAGCTTTGCCCTTACCGGTAGACTCCTAAGCATGGGAGGCTTTATTCACAAATTCTCTATTTTCACATTGAAGGTTTTTAAAGAGGGCTTCAGCTTTTATAGCAATGCCAAAGGCCCTTCTTGCTTGGCTAACCAAGGTTGCAAAGATGTCGATAGCATTCCTGGTCCCCATTTAGGATTGCCTCCATCTAGTACTTGTGGAAGGTTGCTGTAGCAATTTGAACTTCGGAGAGGAGAAGGGAAAGAGCCTCTGGTGCTAGCTCGTCAATTCTCTTCTTCATGTTGAGTTTTGATCGTTGGGGCTCGAAAGTAGTGGAGTCACTTGTAGCCCTCGCCTTCCTTGCAAGTTCCTGCCTCTGGGCTCCATGGTAGGTGGCCTCTTCTGCCCCCCAGAGGCCACAGCTATTGATGCTACCAACAATTATTTCGCAGCTGAGATGTTGGAGAGGAGGGAGAACGTCATTGGAACCCTCCACCCCGATGGTGGAGAACATTTGCTTCCTCTTGGGCTCTTCCGCAACCATATTTTTCCCTTTATCTTTTAGGGGAGGCCGCTCCTCTTCTTGGTTGTCGCCTTCTTACTGATCCTCTCAATTTGGTCTCTCACCTATTCTGCTCCTACAGATGAGGGCTTCATGTCTTTACGACTGGAGATGGAGGTAGCAGCAAAGATTGTAGTCATGTCAGGGGTAGGATGCCTCCCCTTCTCAAATTTTTCTACAAGATAAAACACAGGGTCAAACACAAATGAATTGAAAACTGTTAAATTGGAAGCTAAATGTAAAAGGAACAAAGTTATACCCCTCTTGGCCATCAAACAAAAATCTTCAAAGAACATCTTTGAAACTATCAGTCGATTAAAATTTCACGAGGAGGAAGGTCGTTAGTAAATGCCAGTGAGGTCTTCAGTCTCTTTTACTGAGGTCAAAGTATTCAACCGACCCTACAAGACAACAATAAAATGTTAAGTATCATATTCAATTAGTTCAAGCAAAAAAAAAAAAGCAAACATGACACCCATTGGCTTCTGAGTAAGAGATTAGGACTTTGACATGGGAGACGGTATCAGCCTCGTACTCCTACCACTTTCCCCAGACCCAGAACCATGTCTCATTCCATCCTTTGATGAATGAGGGTAGGTACAGGACGAATGAAGAATGTGACCCCCCATGGGCACAAAGAGTACCATCCCATTGAATCTCCCTTACCTAAAACCCGGGGTTGGAAAACAATATGGAAGACATGAAGGGGCATGTCCTCGCCCAGTGTGGTCTCCTTCTAGAAGAAGAAAGTCCCTACTAGTTGGGCCCAGGCATTAGGGCCAAGCTGGGTAGGGGCCAACCCGTACAACCTAAGGACAACCCGAAAAAAGGGGTAAATAGGCAGGAGTAGCCCAGCCTTTAAAAGGAACTCGCTGAAAGCGTTGCATGCCTGTCTCAAATAGCAGGCTTGATCTTCAGGAAAATGAGATAGGAGCTAGCTCTATGTTATAGGGGATCCTATATTTTTCCTTAAGGTTAGCCAAGTAGGTCGGATCTACAGATAAACTGAACGATTTCAATCTATTTGGACTCCAGATGTACTCGCTTGAAAGGTACGGACTACGAGTACAATAAATGAAAATTTAGAAAAAATTTGAAATGTTTTAAAACATTTGGGAGCACAATTGCAATTGTCAATATAATTAATTATGAGATATCCTTCAATGGAATTATGAGAAATCCAACTGCCTCTGCAACATCCCATAATAGAATTCAAATACTTTCACCTAACACACTATAAATATGAGTAACAATTTATTATCATGATGATGAAACATCAACAATGTGACAAGCCATGATTCTTCACATTTCTCTCTCCTCCACTTTCTCTCATAAAAATTGAACTGTCCAATCACATTATTCCATGTAGACTGCCACTTTATATTTCTATCTCTCTTCCCCTCTCTCTCATAAAAATTGATATATCAAATCTCATTATTCCATGTAAACGTAACATCAACAATGTTCTATTATCATGATGATAAATAACATTATTTTATAAATATATGCCCATTACTTGCAACTCTAAACCAAGGAAGGAAAAAAATATCCAAAAATCTCAGACTCTGATATTACCATTTACTAAACGTGCATACCTCGGTCTAGCCATTCCTACGGCACGCGCACTTTCTCTCTCTCTACCCCTCTCCTAATGTAATTCAAAATAAAATCTTCCCAAGAAAGATAACTATACCATTTGATTTTTTTCTCAATAAAGAGATCCCTCTGCTCAGTATTGTGTGTTCTTGTGCGTGTTCGAATGTGAAATGGTTGTTGCAAAGAGCAACAATAGAAAGAAGCATCAAAGTTACATTTCAATGCCTTCACTGATAATCAATATCACAATCTTCACTTGAATCTTTGTTACAACTTTCCCAGAAAAAGCAAGGTGGCGTCTCAAAGCTAAGGGTTTTATTCGAGAATCCAAGATTTTGGATTTTCTTTATTTTTCTATTTAGGTTTCTTTGGATGTTAAAGATGTGGTTCAACTTTGATCCGACAATACCTTTCTCGCAAAATCCATTCTTTATTCCTCAAGAAAAGGCTAAAACTTCAAGTGGGTTTGCGAGTACTCTGCTAAGTAACGTGAGAAATAAAGTTAAAGATGGAAAATATTATGAGACTAGAGAGTTTTGGAAGCAACCTGATAGGATGGGGTACAAGCCCTGTTTGGATTTCAATGAAAAATACAGAAAGGATAGTGGCGAGACTATTAAGGGCAAAACAAAATATCTAATGCGAGTAGTTTCTAGTGGGATGAATCAACAGAGGAATCATATTGTTGATGCTGTTGTGATTGCTAGAATTCTTGATGCTGCTCATGTTATGTCCATTTTGTAAGTCAATGTCATTTGGGGTTGTTAGGTTTTGTGACAAAAATTCTATGTGATTTAGAAGTTTGTTACATGAAAGAAGCTTGTATAATCTTAGTTTAGAAGTCTTAGTTGATTGGATTCCATGTGATTTGGAATTTGGTTAATTGGAGAAGATGAAGCTTCTGGTCATCGGTTTTAAGGCTCATGGAGAGGGTCTTGTTGTTTGTGGAGGGGGCAGAGTCAAGGATAGCAACGGCGGTTTAGTATGTTGGTATTGTAACAACAAGAGGCACATGAAGAGGAATGTTATGAGTGGCGAAAGAGGCTTGCTACTACAGATCAGGGTGAACAATCAGAAAATTTTGGTAATGTTAATCTTGTAGAAGAGAACGGTGATGGAGATTTTTTGATGATTACTGAAAGTGACTCAAAACCTGACGAGGATTGGATTCTTGATTTAGCTTACACTTTTCATATATGTTCAAATTGGGATTGGTTTTCTTCATATGAAATAGTTACAAGAGATTTCGTGGTGACGGGAAGCAATGAGCCTTGTGGAATAGCTGGGATTGGTAATCTCAAAATCAAGATGCTGAATGGGATTGTTAGAACACTTGGCCAGGTACGATATGTTCCAGGTATAAACAGAAATATGATCTCTTTGATATCAATTGTTGAGAAACCGGCAAAATAATTAAAGATGAAAAAAATATGGACAATCTGAAATTTAATAGATCACACAACAATCAAGAAAATTATGGAATGGAAGAATTTATTATACCAAGAAACAAACAATTGTCTTACAAGATTTTGATCCTCTCATCTAATCTAAACNGTCTTACAAGATTTTGATCCTCTCATCTAATCTAAACAATTCTCTATTGTTTCTAATGTATATATCAATGATCTAATTGTTATAAACCAACCCGATATAAAAAAACGTTTTGATATCAGTTGTTAAGAAACCTGCCAATTAATTAAAGAAGAAAATATGGACAATATCAAATTTAATGGATCACATATCAAGAAAATTGTGGAAGAGGTGGATTTATTATACCAAGAAACAACTAATTGTCTTACAAGATTTTGACCCTCTCAATCTAATCTAAACAATTCTCTCTTGTTTCTAAAGCATACAACAATGTTCTAATTGTTATAATCTCTCTTGAATCTTGCCTTTTCACCCTCATAAAGTGCATATATTTTGTGGATTATTTATAGAAGTCTAATATCGAAGTTGTGGGTCCAAGATGAAGAAAAAGTCCCAAAATCAGGATAAAATAAGAAAATCGTGCTCAGGTTACTGTTGCAGCACTTAGGCGCTAGGTGCAGCGCCTGGGCTCTACGCCTAGCGCTCAGGCGCTATGTGCCTAGCGCTTGGACGCTAGGTCTCAGGTTAACATTCCAAAACATGCTTTTTGCCATCCAGAGTCCATTTTCAAGCAAACTCCTAATTATTATTGAAATTTGATCTCCACAATTTAGGACTCTACAAACCCAGTACCTTAGACTTCCTCCAATTAACAAAATCCCAAATCACATGGAATCCAATCAATCAAGACTTCTAAACCAAGATTAAACAACTTCCTTCATAACAAACTTCTAAATCACATAATTTTTTTGTTACAAAACTCCACATTGACACAAATTCCATAACAAGGAATTAAATCTCTACTCTTCAAGTCATTCTCCAACCGTGTCAATAAACCTGTTTGAACCACCACAAGCAACCCCAACTCCACCTGAGTTGTCAAACCTGCTCAAATCACCATGACCAACATGATCAACAAGATCACAACCAACTCACCTGAGCTACTAGAAGGTTTTTCAATATTATTGTCAAAATCACCACGAACAACCCGATCACAACCAACTCTACCCGAGTTACCGCTTACCAAACTATAAGCTAAAGCTGCTTCCTCCATGATTGTCGAACCTTCCAACACATATAACCGGGACTTTCTCCACCCCCTATTTAGATTAGATTGAGATGATCAGAATCTTGTAAGATAATTATTTTTTTCTTGGTATAATAAATTCTCCACTTCCACAATTTTCTTGATTGTTGTGTGATCCATTAAATTTCATATTGTCCATATTTTCGTCTTGAATTATTTGGCCGATTTCTCAACAAGTAATATCAAAACGTTCTTGATATCAAGTTGATTCATAACAAGTGGTATTAGAGCCAATGGTTTTTGGAGATTTCCTGGGAGGTCCAAATTGATTATTAAAGCGAGGTTGGAACAAGGTCGATTGTTCATGGATGACAACTTTGAAATTTGATATTCCACTTTTGGATCACAACAGTAGATTTTCATTGTGGCAAATCAACATGCGAGCGGTTCTTGCTTAATTGGATCTTGATGATGCTTTGTTGGGGATTGATAGAATGCCTGCAACAATAACTGCAGAGGAGAAACAACGGAAGGATCGGAAAGCCCTATCTTAGATACATCTTCATCTTTCTAATGAAATTCTTCAGGATCTGGTAAAGGAGAAAAGTGCCGCCACATTGTGGTTGAAGTTGGAGCAGCTTTGTATGACAAAGAGCTTGATAAGTAAGTTACACTTGAAGCAGCGTTTGTATTCTCATCGTTTAACAGAAGGTGGATTTTTGGAAGGTCATATATCGATGTTCAAGGAAATCATCGTTGATTTGGAAACGATGGAGGTTAAGTATGATGAAGAGGATTTAGGACTGATATTGTTATGCTCGTTGCCGCCTTCATATATGACTTGTAGAGATACGATTCTCTATAGTCGGGAGAGTCTTACAGTTAACGAGGTATATGATACGCTTTATTCTAAGGAGAAGATGAAACATCTGATTGTCGATTTTGAGGCTCATGGAAAGGGTCTTGTTATTCGTGAGAGAAAGACGGGTAGTCATGGAAGGGGCAGAGTCAAGGATAGCAACAACGGTATAGTCAGTTAGTATTGCAACAAGAAGGAGCACATGAAGAGGGATTTTTATGAGTAGCAGAAGAGGTTTTCTACTATAGATTATGATGAACAATCAGAAAATTCTGGTCATGTTAATCTTACAGAAGAGAACGATAATGGAGATTTGTTGGTGATTACTGAAGGTGACTCGAAACCTGACGAGGAATGAATTCTTGATTCAACTTTCACTTTTCAAATGTGTTCAAATCGAGATTGGTTTTCTTCATATTAAACAGTTACAAGGGGTTCTGTGATGATGGGAAGCAATGAGCCTTGTGGAATAGTTAGGATTGGTAACATCAAAATCAAGATACTGAATGGGACGGTTAGAACACTTGGCCAGGTTCGACATGTTTCAGGTATAAACAGAAATCTGATCTCTTTGAGTACTCTTGATTCAAAAGGGTATAGGTATACCGGTGGAGATGGAGTTCTGAAAGTTAGAAAAGGTGCCCGAGTTGTGTTAAAGGGGCGGAGAAAGTCCAGGTTATATGTGTTGGAAGGTTCGGCGATCACGGCAGAAACTGCAGCTTATAGTTTGGTAAGCGATAACTCGGGTAGAGTGGTTGGGATCAGGTTGTTCATGGTGATTTGGATAATAATATTGGCAAACCTTCTAGTAACTCATGTGGAGCTGGTTGTGATCTTGTTGATCATGTTGCTCATGGTGATTTGAGAAAGTTTGACAACTCAGGTAGAGTTGGGGTTGCTTGTGGTGGTTCACGCAACTTTATTGACTCGACTGGAGCTGGAAGTAAACGGGATGATTCAAGCAAGGATGGCACGCAAAGTAGTTCTATGCAAGGCTTGGATGTAGTTCACAGTTGCTAACTATGCCCGGAAAGGGCATGGTGTGCCAGCAGGGGCATGGGGTATCTGGTTGGGACATGGTGGAAGAGTTGGAGAATGACTTGAAGAGTGAAGATTTAATTCCTTGTTATGGAATTTGTGTCAAGGTGGGATTTTGTTAGGTTTTATGACAAAAATTATATGTGATTTAGAAGTTTGTTGCATGAAGGAAGCTTGTCTAATCTTAGTTTTGAAGTCTTGGTTGATTGGATTCCATGTGATTTGAGATTTGGTTAATTAGAAGAAGTCTAAGATACTTGGGTTTGTAGAGTCCTAAGTTGTGGAGATCAAATTTCAATAATAATTAGGAGTTTAGCTTGAAAATTGACTCTTGGATGGCAAAAAGTATGTTTTGGAATGTTAACCCGAGACCTAGCGCCCAAGCACTAGGCGTAGCACCCAGGTGATGCGATGTAGCACCTAGGCGCTGCAACAGGAACCAGATCGCAATTTTCTGTTTTATCCTAATTTTGGACTTCTTCTTCATCTTGAACTCCACAACTTCGTGATTTGGCTTCTGTAAATACTCTACAAGGTATATGCACTTAAAGAGGGTGAAAAGACAAGACTCAATAGAGATTATAACAATTAGATAATTGTTATACATTAGAAACAAGAGAGAATTGTTTAGATTAGATTGAGAGGGTTAAAATCTTGTAAGACAATTGGTTGTTTCTTGATATAATAAATTCTCCTCTTCTACAATTTTCTTTATTATTGTGTGATCCATTAAATTTCATGTTGTCCATATTTTCATCTTTAATTATTTGGTCGGTTTCTCAACAAGTGATATCAAAACGTTCTTGATATCGGGTTGGTTCATAACAAGGGTGATGAAAGGTTTGTTATTTTCTGCATTTCTTGAGATTCCAGCTATTCAAATCCAAATCTTTATTTTACTTCTTGATTTACAAGTTCTTGATTTTTAGCTCTTAACTATACCTCCTACTACATGAAAATTAAGTCATCTTGGTGCCCTTTAATCTATGAGAACTTTTATCAAGCTTTTTTTTTTTGGAGTATTATGTTATCGAGGTAGGTTGAATTTCTTGCTTGTAAGATGATAAATATTATGGTTGTCTCTCTTGTGATTGTGCAGTGAATTTTCCGATATGTTTGACTTGGATCATTTCAAAAATGTTTTGGCAAATGATGTCCGAATAGTGTCATCGCTGCCCTCTACGCATTTGATCGCAAGGCCAGTTGAGGAGAAAAGAACTCCACTTCATGTTTCTCCCGAGTGGATTCGCTCTCGTTATCTTAAGTGGGTAAGAACAGACCTTTTAATTACTTATCTGACTCGTATATTTGTTAATTAGAAAATTGGTATTGGTATCACTAATAAGAAGTAGAGAATATCTGAAAGAAATATCGTGCGTTGGTGGTATCTTAGTTTAGTACTTTTTCAATGGCCTGCAGCAGATCAGTAAGGTTATGAACAAAATAAACTTCTTGTTAAAGAATCCAATTCATTCTTTGAATGCGTCAATGTTGCAAAGGGATGGAGATGATAAAATATAGCGAGTTAGAATTTTTGCAGTGCGATTCTAATCGTTTTAGTTTTGTTCTTCACCTGCAGCTTAGGAGGGATGGCGTATTACTTTTACGTGGTCTAGATTCAAGGCTTTCTAAGGATCTTCGGTGCAAGGTAGCTTTTTGTCCTTCATACAACCTAGTGTTTGCACCCAGCACCCTTGTTATGTTCCTCAATCGTGCTAATGATGAGAAAAGAACCGAATAAGATATCTTTCTCGACCAAAGCATTTTGTTGCTAACTTCTTCTCCTATAGTTAGTTGCATCAAATTTAGTGTCTAATGATGCATCCTTTTTAAATTTGCAGGTTGCTTTTCATGCATTGAGATTTGCCCCACATATCTCAGAATTTGGTAACAAGCTTACAAAGAGGATGAGAACTGAGGGACCGCGTCTTGCGCTACATCTGCAAATGGAGAAGGATGTATGGGTGAGGACAGGATGTGTTCCGGGTCTAACCCCCGAGTATGATGAGATGATAAATAATGAGAGGAAGAAATGGCCGGAGCTTTTGACTTCAAAATCCAACATGACCTATCATGACAGAAAACTTGCAGGCCTCTCTGCCCCTTAAATGCCTTGGAGGTCACACGGTACGTCTGAAGTTGCAAAATAGTCATGTACTCTTCCTCAAAATACATACTTCGGCTATTTCATAACATGACAGAAAACATTCCTGGCGCATCCTTTTTTATGACTGATGTGTCCTCGGAATTGCCACATGAAAGTAAACAAAATTGAATTAGTCTAAATGTACACAATGCTTTACAGTGCGTGCATTTTCTGTTTACTTAATCTAACAATGTGTTTAGCATCTATTTGCAACTTTATTGAAGTAAAAAAATATAGGATTGTGCTATGTGTACACAATCTTTTACACCCCCCTCACATGGAGGGGGACCCACACACAATAAAATATTCGTGGGTCCCCCTCCATGTAAGGGGGGTGTAATACATTTGGTAAGTACTGTGTATACATCTACCATATCCCAACAAAATTCCCCTATCTGAGAAATTGCAGACAGTTCTAGCTTGCAGTGCTAAAGCAATATAAAAGATTTTGTAAGCAAAATCAGAGTAGAAATAAATTACAGTCCATCCTAACCAGAAAAAAAAAAGGTTGCATGTTAGATTACCAAAAAAATATTTTTTAAGGAATTCATTTTCTTGGAGAAGTTAGATTTTTGTATATTGTCGCTTAAACTTTGAACATGTCATTATGAGAAGACTATAATGTACATATTCAAACGGGTAAATTTCATCTGCAGTCACTAAACTTTCAGCAAAGTTTCAATTATGACACTGATGTTCATTTTACAAATTGTATTTTGTAATATTTATAGAAATTAATTATGCCGTAATTTATGCAGTGTTATATCTTTGCTTTTTGGAGGTTTTAGGCTCCTCCTGATAGTTCGTTCATTTTATATTTTTTTCGATCCTATTTTCTCACAATAGGCAGGAGAAAGTGCCTCGAGGACATCTGCACCATATAACACTGCAAGAGAGGGCGAGCTATGCAACTTGACAATTCATACCAAGATCTTCAACAAAGATAGTGCACTCCTGTTGGACTCATATAACACTGCAAGAGAGGGCGAGCTATGCAACTTGACAATTCATACCAAGATCTTCAACAAAGATAATGCACTCCATGAAATTATAATTGAGAGACTAGTACAAGTAACGAATCATGTGCCAAGAACCAGATTTGAACTGGTGACACGAGGATTTTCAATCTTCTGCTCTACCGGCACTATTGGGAAATTTTTTGTTTTGTCCTTCCCTTTGTCTCCACATCAAAGAATCTGTTCCTTTTCAGATAATTTGAACCACAGCAGTTGAATGACTGCAAAACAGTAGCATTTGAAATAGGTCCAAACAACAACAAATAAATTATCAAAATAAGATTGATAACTTGAAGCTAACATTGATAAAAGTAATGATAGTACAGAGGAGCCACTAGAATTAACACAATTTATTGAAATAATTAGATTGAATTGTGTTCTATGTACTGTGGCCAAGACTCATTTTTTACAAAACCTTCTGATACCTTGCATCTATTCCGAGAACAAAAACAAAAGACTACTCTATTCTGCCGAGGCAGACTAGCCTTCGAAAAAATTGGCAATTCCAGCTTACAGTCGAGAATGTGATAAATTCTTCAAACTTCAAAAGTACCAACCAATCATCGTTTGAGATTCTCACTCGTATACCACCATAAATTAAAACCTGCACGCTTCACAGCGTCAATCCAAGCAGAAATACCTTTCTTGATCCGAATGAGGCACAGATCCTCAAGCTCTGCTAAATACCGTTTTCAACGAGGCAAACTGATTTGCTTCAACATAAATGCCTAAATGCCATAAATCAAACATATGAAAGTAACGACCCAGTTGCCATGAACCAATTGGCTAATTGGCCTCCATCAAAGAAGAAGTCTCTTTCTTGACATGGGGCCATAATGGTGACAAAGCAACGACTTTCCCAATGATGATGAGAGTCGGTGATACAAGCTGATTTAACGTGATTTCATAAGCAAGGTCCTTCAGTTCAGCTAACACCTAAATGAATGCAAACAAATTCCAATCAACCATTACTTTCACCCAAATTAGAAGTTAAATGCACGATTTCGGATGAAAACTGTATATCTGGGTGACAAAGCAACTGATAAAATTGATGGTAAAGATGGCAAAGGAATGGATAAATACAATGAAACACTAGAGCCACAATGGAAGGAAACAAAAAAATTTGTAGGCAGACCAGGTTGGAGATTCAGATAGTAATTCTGAGGACCAACCGGTTTATTGACAAATGATACTTGCAGAAATGGAATAAAGTCAACAAGAAAATTCCTAAATCATTACGTTGTACATGAATGGTCAAAATATTTCAATCCATTGTGGAACAAAATGCATCTTCAAGAAAGTTGCAGCTGCGGTATTCACCACTTATTTACAGGAGATTGGAATGTATTGGTGTATATAGAAACGAGTAAATGATAATTGATTGTGCAAAGCAAAAACACCATCCTTCCAAAAACAAGTTATTGCCGTGGATTAGTGATTCTTTTATTTTTTCCTTTAATTGTCCATAATAAGGATATTTATGATCTTGTGAAGGTCGATTTGAAAACAGGAACTTCAGTCGTAGGGACTGCACTTGTCCTGTAAGAAATATTAGAAGTTGTGGCCACGAGATAGAAATATCCAGTTTATAGATACAAATCCATCAGATTTATAATGTTGCCTTCTTGCATTTCGTTATGTAACAACATTAAATTTGAATAAGAGCCTTACTATGAACTGAATTGCCTAAACAAAACTACTAAATAAGAAGAAAAATAAGTAAAAGTATCTCACCATGCGTTGTTGAGGGGTTGTTCCTCGTTCAACAGCAACGGCTGGTGTATCTTGTGGCAATCCACGATGCATCAATTTTGAGGCAAGAGAAGGGAGAGTTGATAAGCCCATGTAAACAACCAGAGTGGAATCAGGATCTGCTGCATTCTCCACCACAAATAGAGGATCTGTACCCCCATTTTTTGAGTGGCCTGTGAGAAATCTTACACTATTTGCAACACCACGGTGCGTCAATGGAATCCCTAGTTCTGCAGCTATTCCAGAAGCAGCTGTTATACCTAGCACATGTCCACATTTATTACTCAAATTGTCCTCCTTTACTGTGATCTTTAATTTAGTCCAGACATCAAGGTTTTGTTTTCATAAAAAAACTTGTTCTGTTATAAGAGGCAACTGAAACAAGCAGTAATTGCGGGGATCTGCTAAAACATTTGATAGTAGAAGCATGCATTATCCTGACCAGTATATCCATCTTATCCATATCGAGAAGAATATAAGAAAAAGTAGTTGCTTTGGGAATAAACGTGCATACCCACTCAAAGTAGTCTGGCTTGAAGTTTTACATGAAGTAGAAGAGTAACTTGTTCAACAAATTGAAGCCTTTTCTTTTTCGTTTTAACATGAAGAAATAAAAAGAGAGAGATATAACGAAGCATGGCAAAAAGTAGAGCCAGCACATGGTCGGAGAGGTCCATAATGTATTTGGTGGGAAATGGGAACTAAACTTAAATGCTAATTCTGCCCTCCTTCGAAGTATTTAATAAGAAATAACTGCATGTGGACTCACAAGTATGCAAATATAAGGGAAGACTTTGAAAGCAGATGGAAAACCTAGAAAATTAAATAAAAAGGACCCTAGCCTGTATTATGAATTTATGAAAATATAAGGATAAACTTTGAAAACAGAAGGAAAACCTAGAAAATTAAATAAAAAGGACCCTAGCCTGCATTCCGTCCACGTGCAGCTCGTGTCCTCCAAGGTAGTGATTGTGAAACTATAGTTATGCAAAGTCCAAAACGAAAATGTATTTGCTCCTTACTAACCCATCAGGTAAATTTAATGTTCAAACAGTGTGGTCCCATGTTATATTGTTCTTCCCATTTTCTTCTCAAATTCTGGATAGCTAGTCTTTTTCACAACATTTTGCACCCTTCAATTCAACTAGTTTATTACAGCAACTGATTTCTTCCATGATCAAAAATGTAAACAAACATCTCTCCTAGGAATCAGGTTCCCACCAAAAAAGGAATATAACAAAATTATAAGTTTGTATAACTACACTTCTACCTAAATGGAATTGATCATACTCAGGAAAAAGAGAAAATAAATAAAAATAAAAAACCTTCAGGTATTGTGAATCTTGTGAGTTTATTTTCATAATCATCATACCTGGAATGACTTTAACTCCAATTCCTTGCTGCTGCAGAAAGTCCATCTCCTCTCCGCCCCTTCCAAATACCTGATGACCCAAAATCAGCAATTTTCATGATCTAATTCGAAACAACAGCATCATGGAACTCTATTCAATTCTTCAATGAATTGATGAAAAGTTCTATTAAAGAACTACAATATTTCAATTTATGACATCGTACATGCATAATATAGTTTCGACATGTAAACATCAAAACTCACCAATGGATCCCCGCCTTTTAGCCTCACAACATTCGCCCCAGCTTCAGCAAAGCTCAAAAGCAATTCATGAATTTCCTCCTGCAGAAACACTCTACCATTAACACATCTTCCCGCTGAGTAAAAACTCATATACAGAAGGAGAAAAAAAAAGCGCTATTTCAGCACTGCTCACTTGGTCCAATTTCATATTCGCTACAAACCAATCTCGATTTTGCAAACACAAATCATACTGTTCAGTTGACTACCTCTAGTACTGGTAGGAAATGTATGTCAATAATCTCTCCGTACTCTGGCTGATTACATTCCATACTTTCTACAAGATACCAAAAAATGTAAATTGTTCTCCTTTTTAATTCCTCCAGTTTAACTGAATAATTGTGCATAGAAACAATTACTATCAAATAAAAAACTTCCCATTGTGACGGAATAATTATGCATAGAAACAATTGCTATCAAATTTGACAGTCCCAATTTTTAATCCAAGTTCTAGTACAAATTTCCAGATATATAAAATACCAAACTCTCCTAGGATGCCAAATTTTAGTCACCAAAATTACAAGAAAACAATAAAAAAATCATAATAATGATCTCAATTTATCAAAGTTTTAACTTGGTCAAAAACCCACTTCGAAACTCAAAATGTCCTTGGCAACCAATTCGTAAAATCACCAAAATAACTCAATAATACATGCAAAGATGCACAAAATAAACAATAAAACCAACCTGGGTTCTGCTATGGTACCCAGCAGTTTTGCCAACATAAAGAAGTCTAGCATTCGGACCCACCAAATTCAACACATCATCAGACACCAACCTATCATACAACAGTAGATCAGCGCTCTGTATTACCCTTAATGCCTTCACGGTCAGCAGCTCAGGGTCCCCAGGCCCTGTGCCCACCAAGAACACATTTCCAGGGCCCCTTCTCTTATCCCTGTTTTCACTTTCTCTCTTTTCTCTCAAAACTTCAAGCAATTTCCTAAGCTCCGGGAGCTGCAATGCTATCTCATACTCCCTGATTGATTCTTGATCGGGTGGAACTGGGCAAGAGGAGGTTGAGAGATTCTGAAACTGGTACTTGTACAGCCAGCTATCCCTTTCGTACCTCTCAACAGAGTGTTTTTCAGTAAAAGGCGAAGTTGCTTGTGAATGCAACGAACAGCGAACGGAGAAAACTTGCGTTAAACTGAAATAATTAGATTTTCTTGATTGGGTTTTCGAAGTTGAAGAAGAAACAGAACAAGATGCCGAGAGAGAAGGGATTCTGGTTACAACAGCCATGGAAATGGAACAAAAAATGGCCTCTAATTTGAACGGGCAAAGATTATGCCTTTATAGGCATGTGTGAATCTGTACGCGGAGAAGGGATAATACAGAAATTGGGTCTGAAATGGAAACTTGAGTCCCCCTTTCTGAGCTCTGGCCTCTAGGGGGTTATGAGAAGGCAATTTTTTAGCGGCTTTTGAGGTTTTGATGGGGACACGCAGTTCTTTGGTTTGCCCTCGGCGGCGGCTAAATAACCTTTTCTTTCATTATATGTTACTTTTGGCTCAATTAGTGGAGTATCATGATGATGCTACAACCCACGGTCTATTTTTAAGTCAAAATAAAGTTGCAACTGGAATAAAATACTTTGAAACGTCGAAAATATTTTGAAGTTGATTGATTATGAAGTAATACATGAAAAAGTTTGATTGGACAAAATTATCAATATTGACATGTCACGAAGAATGTTCGTTGGTCGGGTCAGCAGCCCTCACTTCAATCGTCAAGTACTTCCTCTATCTTTGGCCAACAATTACGCCGTTCTATGAGGGAATAAGCGTTGTCTTGTTGTTGGAGTAAGGAGTCTCCTTTTAAATAAGACGGATGATTTGCTGGTTAGGTGAAACCTTTAGTTGTTTAGTGACCATAAAAAAGTAAATTGAAGTTCAAGTAAGTCTAAAAAATGTTTAGCTAACCAATAGAATGATAAATCCAAATTAACTGGCACATTTTCTTTTCACTTGAACAATTCTATTTTGGAGCGACCGGGTGGTTTCTTTCTTTCTTTTATTTTTGTTTTCTCTTTTCGTTATTTATTAAACATAACGATAAGCTGATTTTTTTTTTTTTTTAATAGACACAAGACAAATTGCATTTTAACAAAAAATTAATCGAAGTTCAAGATAGAAGATGGAACGCCAAGTAAAAGATCCGACAATGGAAACGTGAGAAGGGGAATGAACTAGTTTGATTAAAGTCTTGTAGACAAATTGAACTCACGAGAAGACATTAAAAGAAAAATGATGAAGTACTTGTTTTTTATCAACTAATTACTAACTTTAAGTTCTCTCTCGTAAGTGATAAGTACAGAGGTTAAATCATGAACTAAGAACTCAAATATTATACCACAAAAGTAGCATCGTCAACTGGAAACCAATTTTTATGAAATGATTAATAATCAATTGAGTAATTAATTAAACACAAGGTAAAATCCTCAAAATATTATAGAAATGAAATGTTGGGACCGAGGCTGTCAAAATACTACTTGCTATAGTTTCAATAGGTTGTGATGCAAAAATAAATTACGATGACTGTTGTTCATTTACATGGAGTTCACATCGACTAGGCGACTATTGAGTTTAGTTGGAGTTATATTCACGTAGTAAATCGAATTTTGGTGTGATCTTATTTTTAAAAATTATTTAAAAGATAATGATTGTTTGCTTAACATGAGACAAATACACAATTTAAAAAAAAAAAAAAAATCTTTACAAACCATAAAATGAAAAATAATTCAAGAGCATTAAATTTTGATATTAAAAATGAATAAATAATTTCCTCTAATTTTACTTCAATTGTACTTGCCCCTGCTAGATAAAAATTTGCTCCTTTTCTCATCTTGAAGTCGCTAAGCACATCCTCATTCTCCTTATAATTAAGTGAACTTCACTGTCTGTCGATGCTGTCCAATGCAAAACGCGATCTTTCTTCAGATTGAGCAGAAGTGACAATATACAAGAAGCTAGGAGTGTTGGTTAATGCAATGCTGCTGAAGGTCTAAGGTGGAGATGGACCTACATAGAAGAATACACAGCATCTACTAAATTAGACTTGGCGCTTAAGCTCGAAAAGATGATGCAATGAAGGTTGTCTTGAAGACTATGAAACCCATCTTAAGCACAATACAATGTCAAACGGTTTTGAAAAATCGAGGCAAATTCTAATATACCGAAAGATGTCAGTTTCTTGTGAACTAATGTGTGTGATACATTTACCGTTTTTCATAAAATATAATATCACATCAAGCAGATCGATGAAAAGAAAGATGAGCTATGCTACAGTTAATTGCAAGCTGCCAAGATAAAGGTGACCAAAACTGCGTATTACAGTTAATATCCTCTAGAATGCAAATAACAATGGAACATTAGTGACATAGAACTGTTTTGAGATAGGAGTTTCTTACCTATATAAATAAAGAACTGCCGAGCACTTTTAGCCTGAGAATTGCTCCTTGAAGAGTTTAGGAGTCACCTTCAGATTAATATCATCATAAGGTTTTTCTTGATGTACATCCACGAGTCCATAATTCTTCAAAACCTGAAATGAATTAAAACGAAGGCTTTCAAATACCTAAAATGAGGGAGAATGGCTGCCTGACAGAAAAGATGTGCTTCTAAACTTTAGAATTTGGCTCTCTTTGATGTTAAATTTCAGAAATGTAACAAGTTACTTCAACCAACAGACCCTAAAATATGACCAGTTCTTATCCCCTAGACTGTAGAGTAAATCTGATCAAAGTCGTTCTAACTTCTAACAACATGGTAACTACAGCTAAACACCAATATCAATAAAATAAATTAACAGCAAATGCTTGAGCATTTACCAAGGTCTCAGAAAACATTCGAGCACATATTTTTCTCGGTTTGCCTTCCAAAATCTTGAGCAAACTGAGATCTCCAGATGACCCTTCTGAGTTGCCTGTGACTGGGGTTACTGAGGCCTGTCTTTTTAGATATTGAGCCAAAGCTCTGCAAACCAATTACAAAAGAATTTATCACAGAAAAGATCCATTGCTAATAAACTTGATCCGCTTTAGTGGACACAGTTTGACAGTTCACTCGGGGACGGGATGAGGACCAGGAGGATGAATCTACCTTGTTCGAGAAGACAAGGTATGCACTTCAGGAGTCCCCTGATTTTTCGAGAGGAACCCGACTTTTGGGGTTCCTGGAGATCCTATTAAAGCAGATATATTTATCATGTCTCCTTCACATCAAGCATAGTTATAGTAACTTAGAGTCAAAAATCTCACAAACTTGAAAATTACCAGCTGGCGAATTGTCGTCTTGTTCTAAAAAACCAAGTTCCTGGAACATGGGAAAAGAAGCAGCATGTCAGATGAAAAATTCAAGAAGTGCCTGTCAAAAACTGTGGAACGAGTTTTCATATTCAAATTAAAAGCAAAATATGACACACGAACACAGTCACCCTCCCTCATAAATTGAAGATGAGAAATCTGTAGTATTATAAAAGAGGACAAAATCTACATATGACAAACTAGGAAAATGGAGCAAACTTGTGCATTCCAAATTCATTTTTCAAGAAATAAGTTACAGAATAGCATGGATCACGAAATAGAAAGTATTACATCCTGTACAAAAGCAGGTGGAAGTAAAATATTTATATAAAATAAATAAATGGAACATTATCTAGGTTGTCTAGGAGATGCAGTTAGCAAATTATTCAACCTAAGGCAAACTAGAATTCAAGTACATAATTTTTTAAGACATAATCTTTGGGATTAAACATTGCTTAAACCAAAAGCATTTCCCACGGCATCTATTTGTACTTCACTCAAGTAAGCCGTGTATGGACACTTAATTTCCATAGCTATTCTATGTTTGGGATGACAAACAGCGGGCACTATGTAAGAGCCTCATTTTCCTATCAAAGAGATGCCAGCTACATGTAAAAATAAACCATGCTTGAACATGGTTTTATCAGAGTCAGGTTAAAATAATTTAGAAACAGAGGACAGGGTTCATAAGATTTCTTTTTGGATGGAATACAGAAAATAAGAATTATTTGTAACAAGGAAAACAGACTTAATATGAATGTGCAAATGAGCCCAGCAGACAAGCTTTTTGCAGATATTGGAATCAAGCTTAAGGTCGACCCAAATAAACAAGGGGTCAGCTCAGGTCAAGCTTACTGAGCTTAACATTCTAAAGCTCGTGCTAGGTTGGGGGTATAAAAACCAAGTCAAGACCCTTAAGTGTTATTTGAGCCTGATTGGAGCAGCAGGTTAAAACAAAGCCTAGTTTTATTTTTTGCTGGATTTGTCAGCTATCCATAAAAGTAACAGTAAAATGTTAAATTATAATAATATATAAAGTAAATAAATATTCAATATGACACATAATAATTAGAAAAATAAAGCTCTGAACCAAGTTTGAGAGCTTACAAGCACTTGAAAAGTTGTTCAGGTCGAACTTGACTTGAGCTCAAAAATTCGAAAAAGGAAGCCTAGACAACCTCTAGTTGATGTTATCGCGAGGTACAGAATAAGTTGTGTGAACTAAAAATGCATGAAGAAACATCCAAAAGACATCCAAAAGCATGAGAAAAGGAAAGAAGATGACTAAGCATAAGAAGATGAATACTCAAAATCACAGAAATATATTAAGCTTCTTAAACATACTCCTGCAGAAGTCGCAAGCTCAGGAATATCAGAAAGTGCTGAATGCTCCCCATTGAATGTCATTGGAGTTTCCATGTCAGAATAAAAGGTACCAGTAGATGCTCCCATATCTGACCTGGGCATTGTTCCAGCCCCTTCAGTTGTTTCTGCATGGTCTGATTGGAACTCGAAATTGGCATTGTCAAGAGTGAAGTCATTTCTTCGACTTGGAGTAGTGGGTGTGGGAAAAGAAGGCATAATTATCTCTGTTGATATGTAATCATTATTACGAAAACGTCCACCTTCCACACCATTATCGTGCATAGATAAAGGAGAAGGATCAACAACAGCCCCTCCATGAGCTTCTTGCAAGGCAACCAAATGAGGCTTTGTAGAAATAAACTCTTCCTTAAAGCTATCACGTAGTTCAGCACATACTCCTGCAGAATTACAGAACCATTTTTCTTATAAAAAGCCACTCCAAGAATTGCAATCTATGCCAGTAAATTTATAGATAACTCTACTAACCGGTTATCAAGGGCTCAAAAAGGGCACAATCCTTTCTCATTTTGTTGCTTAATTTCCAGAAGTCCAGAGAAGAGCGAGGACAGTTCTTCAGGCGACGTATATCACTGGTATCATTTAGTGAGTTTCTCATATACCTGGTATCACCATATCCTATTATCTAAAAGAAAAACGGTATATCTGCAATTTTATTGGAGTGATATGTCAAAGAATACCCATTGCTCAATACAGTGGACGTGTCAAAGGGCTGCTTTCTTTTCCTCTTTCTGACTTTTGGTTGTGCAACAGGTGGGGTTGCTCGAATTTCTTCTTCAGGCGATGGGTGGACTGAAAAACAGGACAACATGTTCTACTGAACTAATTTAAAGTGAATCTATTTCTGATAAAAATAAATTTGCACCTACCAAAAGGCATATTTGACTCTGAATGATTATATGAATGTGATGCTTGATGCTTCTGAGATGTAGAAGGTTCTTCAGGCTTTTCTGTATGTGGAGTGTGAGTTTCTATATCTTTGCTGATTTGATTCACAATCTCTGGGTCCACATCAACCCGATCAGACAACATTGGATTGTAATTGAAATCAGAACCATGATTAGCTTCTCGCTGAAACTCAGGACTTGACAAATCCGGATGATTGCTCTCTTCAGCAATTCCTTCATCAACCAGTTGGTGTTCTCTTGGAGGCTGATCTTCAAAAACAGGAACTGTGTCCTCTTGAACACTGCATCAGTAAAAGAGAAAAAACTATATTCATCACTTCCACCAAAGACAATGCACAATTTACTTTTATAGGCTATGCAATCCATACTCTTCAATTGGCACAGTCCCTACTGCGTCCCTTGGAGAATCCTACAATTAAAAGATCTCAATTGAGAAATAATTATAAATTTAAGATGTCTTCAAATTCAAAAGGATGTACACGATGGAAGTACCTCATCAAAAGCAATGACAATATATGGATCTTTCCCAGTTGGAATTTGTTCTGTAACATGGAAATTTCAAGGTAATGTCTTCATAATTATTGGTGAAAAGAATCATAAGTGAGAAGGAAGAAAGTGACGTAATCTGTAAATAAGCAACCCCACATAATATTTCTACCTGTCAATGTAATATCATCATAGCTCTTAAGATGATCATTCTCACCCCTGAAAATATTAGTCCAGGAATTTATCAGTATCTGTAGCTCTTAGACAACAAAAGAAACAGTTCTATAAACCAAATACCATGAATAATTGTCCAATTCCAGGGCATCAAGCTCAAATTTTCCTGGTAAAGTGACAGCGTGAAATGGTGCATGATTTGCATCCTCGGGTAGATTGACGTTCACAGAAGTAAAAGCCTTATTTATTGTCATCTGTACAACATGGCAATCTTCATAAAGGTAGTCAACTTGCTTCGAATATATCCGGGCAACCCCAAGTAGAAGATGTCCTGACATTCTCAGAGCAATAGGCACCTCAGGAAACATGATGCGATCTGCAAACAGAATTATAAAATATATAGAAATTAGTGGGGATAAGCGAGTTGTACTTGTATTTTGTGTGAATAAAAAGTGGTTTGCCTGATTATAAGTTGTTTATAAATATTAGCCAAACATTGGCTAATATTACACCTAAGAATGTCAAACATCATCACGTTATATACAGCTCAAGCAGATGTTAAATATATGAGAGGATGAACAGCAATGAGTTTAAATTGAAACTGAGAAATATTAAGCACCCGTTTGATCTACATTATTATCTCATTAAAATGAAAAATATGACCGTTATGTATCACATCAACATTTAAATTCAAATTTTCTATCTCTTGTGTGGCCCCAATAACGACTATATTTTTCATTCTCATTATATAATAATTTGGCTCAAGCAGGGCCTAAATTACATCAGCCTCTTGGTAGAAGTATAAACACAAAAAGGATTTTTTTTTTTTTATTTTCAAACTCAGTAAAATATATATGATTCCTTATTGACCAGTCCCAAAATGTAATATGCTGTAATTGGAAATGAAAAATAGCTAAATATGAGAAAATACCAACGTATTCCTAAATTTCAACTGCTGTTGCGGATTTATATTGATAAAAAGTTAGTCTTTAGGTATATTTGTACCATAAATTAATGGAAAATTGTAATCCTTGATAGGCATTGACGTCCATAAATATTGTTATCAACCAAAAATATAACATTTGTACCTGTATCCACATCATATCACCAAAATTGGGGAGAACGCATAAAATGTCAAATTGGATTATTTTCATAAGTTAAAACATTAAGAAGATACTAAACATATGGGATTAATCATAATGTAAAAATTAATTATTCAATAACTCAAAAGATCCCGAAAAGGTGCAATCTTTTCCACAGTAGTAGAACACCGAGGGGAAAAAAGTTATGTACAATGTCTAAAAATATAAAAATCAAAGCTAAAAATTTTAAAAAAATCAACAAAACTAAAAGAAAAACAGAACTTGCACAAGATAATTAATATTATGGAAATATCGATGATATATTTAGATAAAGATATACCAAAAAGTCAACCCAGAATACCATACAGACCAATCATCAAGAACAATTTTTCTAATGAAAGAAATTTAATCAAAACCCACAAATTACATTTTTATTTCCAATTGATATTTATAAATACAGTCCTTACTTGTCACTCCAAACACTGGGGAAACAACCCTGAATTGTAGAATTAATAAAATTGAAAAATCAACACTAAAAGATTTATAAAATAAACAAACGAAATCGATAACACAACTTTAAGTTTAGAATATATATAGATAAAAAAAAATAGTTAAACGATAAACCCGCCGACACATTCCATAGAGATCGAGAGATCAAGAACAAATTCTGTTTTAGAATTCCAGTTAAAACTCACAAAGAAAATGGTATTTTTCGATGAAAAATGTGCAAATACTGACCGACTGTGGAGAGGATATTGGTTGAGATGTAATGGGACTTCTTGAGTTTGTGCTGCAGATGAGCAGCACACCAGACCGTTCCCAGCGGACCCTTCCTAGCCAAAAATGTGTGAGAGTAAAACATCTTCTTCTTCTACACTACTGGATTCATAGTATACATTTAAATTATAGTGTATCTATATGTGTATGTGGTAGCATATTTGGGGGAAGTCCGTAGGACGGGGGCGGGAAAGTGAAAGGCGCGAATTGGGAAAATTGGTACATTTGGTGTTTGGCTATGGGCCTGCATTTCGAAAAATTTGCGATAGTGCCACCAAATTTTCGTGGGTCATGGTTTACTGGTGCTCGTGCGGAAGTGGGCCGTGGGGGGTACACAATTGGAAAGATTACATAACTAAAAGATTAAAGTTTCAAATTTCAATTCTCCTACTTTTTCAAATTTTATTTATAAACTAATTAATTAAATATATTACAATTCCATATAATTTGGTCACATATTATTAATTGATCACAAATCATAATTTTTATATGTCACAAATTATTTTACGGTCACAATTCAAAAATTTTATAGGTCACAATTTGCTCATCGGTCATAAATCAAAAATTTATACCTTATAAATTTATTCATCGGTCACAAATCTATCAAATTAATAATATATTATTCATTTGTCACAAATTTTATATGTCACAAATTATTTTACAGTTACAGTTCAAAAATCACAATTTGTTAATCGATCACAAATAAAAAAATGTATACATCACAATTTATTATTGGTCACAAATCACAAATATTATAAGTTACAACGTATTAGACAGACACAAATTATTAAATTATCGGTCACATATTAACAACTTTTTAGGTCACACATTATTTTTTTATCACAAATTATTGAATTTTAAAGTCACATTTTAATAGTTAGTCATAATAAACCAAATAATTGGTCACAGATATTATCCCACCGTCGCCATTACCACAACAGCACACAACACCACCACCACCACCAGTAGATCCAATACACTCCCAACAAAAATCATCACAACCACCCCTGCCATCGCTGCCACTGCCACCATTTTTGCAACACCACTATCACCACACTATCGCACATGCCACCAGTCACCGCTGAAACAACACCACACAACAACCACTACACACCGCACACACCACCGTCACTACCATACCACACACATCACCCACTATACACTCTGGCACCCAACCCCAACTACTGCACGCAACACCACACCGCACCCAACAATCGCGATAGCTCCACCACCGGACATAGCACATTACCCAGCCACCGCACAACACCACCGCACCCAAACCAACAATCGCATAAAAAATAATCAAAAGAAGAAGAAGAAGAATTCCCACGCACGAAGGAAAGCCATAGTCGCTGCACTGTGATGAGTCATCGGCATCAGTCGCGCGCAGCGTTAGCGACGAGCTCCGTTGTGTCTCCGACGACGGCTGTGTGAGGAAGAGGAGAGAGAGAGAGACGAGAGAGTAGGCGGGGAAGAGAGCGAGAGAGGAGGGGAAGAAATATGACTTTAGGTTTGGGTAATTATGATTTAGATGGAGAAGATAGATGAAATAGATGAATTAATATATGATTTTTGTAAAAAAAAAAAAGTTTATATCTGAAATTTGAAATTAAAATTTTAAAATTCTGATTTTGTGTAATTTCCACTTCACAATATTACCCGTTACTCTTTATATTAACGTGAATTAAGCAATTGAAGGAAAAATATAGTGGCATATTATGATAATATATTAAGTTGAATCATGGTACTAATTAAATAAGTTGCTTAATTGGTATTAGAATTCAATTTAAATATCTTATAACTAGATATTAAGGACTTGTTTGAGATGAATTAAAATCCAATTAAAATTGAAAATATAGCCGTTATTAAGTCTCACTCGTTTAATAAAAGTCCACAATAACGACTAGTTTTTCAATTTTAATTCGATTTTAATCTCTACCGAACATACTCTAAAAATTCGAATCCTACTAAATGAGATAGAATCCAGTGATCTCTCAAAGCGGACAATACATGTGAGTTAAAAGTAACCTTTTTATTTTAAGATTTGATTTTCATGGTAATTGGAAATCTTTAAGAAAACAATTAAAAATTTTTAATTAATTTATTTTGATAAT